GTGATTCCGAAGAACACACCTGGGTCGCACGCTATTTAGGTTACGTGGCATTGTTCTGACTCATCGATATTAATCTAACGTATACGTATAGCATTCGAAGCTATTAAAGTATTAGATACCTTAGCGGGCGATAAAGCCGTTCGCGTAGATGATCTAATTACTTTCGGTGAGAAGCATCAGACCTAAGATACCGATAGATTCGTTCCTCGATAGCTTGGTATAAACGCGAACGAGAAATTATCGCGAGGAAACGTACTACGTATATATTTTCATTCCGATTCTTATTACTATTTATTCAGATTCTAGCATTTCCGCGAAGATAAGCGATTTATTTTTTATTATCTACTCTCGATAAATACGCAGAACGTATGTTTCGTGACCCAACTAAGTTATGATTTTTTGCAAAACTCTGACATGTGGAGTTTTTCCTTAGACCAATTAAATTTCTAGCAAATCGCCATACTTTTAAATGGAAATCACTCGATGGAATTTTAAACTGTACACAACTACCCACATTGACATGTACTATCAAACGTTTCAAATCGACGGCTTTATCTTATTTCTTGCTCCCGCAAATTGGTGCAAGTGTACGAGCATTTTGCACAGATTTGCTATTGAGATTTATCAAGACAGGAACACGATTACGCACAATCGTTTATTTTTATTATATACTGTGAATTCTATATGGCTTAGTTAACGCGAATCGTTCAGTGAGTCATGTATGTGTTTTATTTAGACACACGTCGAGGTTGGTGGTTCTATACTTCGTTCGAGATAAGTTAATAGCTTTATTCGTCGATTACGAATATCGACTTTCTATCTACTTCGTCACTTCGACGTTCGTGTCTCGTTTTTGACTTGTTTCATTGAACGATGTATAGCGTTAACCTTCTGCACCCCTTTTCGACTGTGTGACTCCACGTCGATTTCATTCACAGGTATACACCCCTGAAAACGTCGAGTCAGAGATGAAAATAATCAGTAAGCAGAATTTGTTTGAATCAGTGCCTGATTCATTGATTCAATTTACCCGCGAGAATTTAGAGGGTATTGTTGAAAACTGGCTTAAAAAACGATTTTTCTTTCACATTTCCTCGAAATATATGCTTTTGAAAATGTCTGTGCAAAAGGATTTGTTCAAATTCTTAAGGCTATATAATTTCCACGATTTTTATTAATTTTATTCAAAAAGAAATTGGAAATATTTTCTAAGCATACTTATATCCTAGTGTGAATACTGCGTATCAAAACGTATCATAGTTTCCATAGAAAAAATTTCCAAAGTCGATTTTTATTGGTCTTATCACAAGAATGCTTCCTTTGCACTCAGGAGACGACTTTCAGTCGCCATTTATAATCAGATTCTAAAGATCGATGTTAAATATATAAATTTTAAATTACCCAAGGATGCGTGGATTGTGCAAGTAAAGTAATTCTATGTCTTAATTTGCATACGATATCTTATTTACCGTTTTAAAAATATCGTCGACTTAAAAAGTCTTCGAATTACCATTTTTTTGTAACGAAAAAATCACCGAGTGCAAAGGATTGATATTATTATATTAAACAAAACGGAATACTTTCGGTGCCAATAAATCCTCGCAATTAAAATCTCCCGTAATGAATTTTATATCGAAAAATACTCGAAGTTTATCTTCACTAGACACTAAGACCTTCGGAAGATGGCCGCAAGATTGCGCGAAATTGAGTTTCCAGGAATTTCTTCGAAACCGAAACGCGCGGTTTTCGCGAAATTTTTGCTGCTGGTAGGACATGTCTTCCTGAGCGCAGGTGCTGCACGCGTGTAAACTCGCCCCGTGTTTCACGCATGTGACGAGTTTCTCACATCGCGTGTATAATTTACACAATCGTACATGTCGTGACCAACCTCGGTCATTTTGGTATTGATTTTTTTTTCCTTCCGTTCGACCGACGACCCTTGTTCGAGGGTCGAAATGCTTCCTCCGTAATTCAGGGTATGCATTACGCAGTCACGCGACTTGGACTCGCCGTGTACCTTTTCCAGGATCGTCATCACCGCGTGTCGCGGATACGAACAGCCGATCAGAGGATCAAGATACGCATTATCGGATTTATCGGGCCCGTGAGTATTTGCATGAATCATAGATTACGCGATTACAAAGAAAGTCGTATCGCTGATAGCGACTAATTCAACGATTCGAAGCTAACACTGGATAACGACCGAATTACGATCGAGAAACCACTCGCGGACGTATAGGTTAACGCGAAGGGAGCCATTTTATAAGTGCGTATCTAAATGGCGGTGTAGCGTTTGATAAAGAAACCGTTGTGAAAGATTATTCCGTATAAATCGCAAACTTGAACTGATAAAATATACTGTTCGTTAGAAGAAGAGATATTTTCGAATGTATAGTGTCTATCACTCGTTTACGAAGAATAGAAATATCGATAAAGCTCGAGATTTCGAAAATTTTTCGAAATAAAAATTCGCAACTTTTCCGGCTACACGTAAAAGGTAACCTGTCTTATTCGCAAGGAGCTTTCGATATTACACAATCCTGTGTACTATACCGTGGTCTATACTTATCGTAGAGCCGAAATATATTCGCCTGGTTTCAGTTATAGAATCGCTACTTCAACAAACGATCGTGCGCCTATCAGCCACGATGCGTTGCCATTATCTAATTCTGAAGAACGCAGCAGCGGTGACCATGAGCGAATTGAATGTCAAATATATGTTATGTATCACCGTCGGAGCACGAACGTGTTAAGATGGCTTCCGCGAAGAAAATAAGAGCATCGGTATTAAGCTGCCGCGTAAGATCCATCGATTTTTCGTTGTCTTCGAGGCATAAAGTAGGTCGGTCAACGAAGATGCAGCTTCGTTCGGAATACGGGATACCGCTAAAAATTTAATTACCCTCCGAGCAGAAGCCCGGCAAGTTTTACGGTGACGCGAAAGAATGAAGCTGATCGCGCGAAATTATTCAATTTGACAATGACGCGCGGCCATTACGTAGCATCTGCTGAGGACGGAGAAAGTAATGCCGTCCCGGTGTTGCTTAAACGATATTTACTTTCGGGCGAGGCACCGCTGCTATATAGTTCTTTTTCCCACCGCCAGTCGTCCCGCGCGCCGAAAATGTCTTCGGTTCGTTAAACGATAACGCGGAAACGAGAATCAATCCGTCGGTTTTTATCAAACGCGCGATTGAAATCGCGATCGATGCGCGACGGTTAAATTCGCCGAAGCAACGGTGGCAGGTTCGAGTATAAACCGAATGCCAAATGGCATTTCACGCGTCCCTATTGATTCTTTCGAATACGTTGTTATCGCCCGATATACGGGAAACAATTGCTTTCACCGTCCACAGATATTCCTATCTCCGTCTCTCGCGACGGGAATCGAATGGCAAGGGAGGAAAAGTTAATTACCGCAACATTTCGACCGTATTTCGCTTTAAGACGCTCTCTCGAGCGTTTCGTCGATACGATTTCTAGTTTAAGGGGGAATCTGCTTCGCCGATTCTTCGTGGAGGATTAACGGAATATTCCTTTTAAAGGCGAGCAACTAAGAGAGAGAGAATCAAAAAGAAGTCGAAACTTTTATTTACCGCGTCAAGCTGTTCGCTCGATCGAGTGGTCTTATAGGCTGTTGACGCGATCCCACTCTCCACCACGGTTGATACTTGAAAATGGATGTCACCTACGATTCGATGGGGCTGGAGTTCGTTTTAAAGGGATTCTTTGTGTACGTGCGCGCTCTGTCTCTCTCCGTCGGTTCGATGCCATTTTGTGTTTGCACCGTGGCTCGACCGAGGTTGACGAGATATCGAAACATTCGCAGGGCGGGTTTTGCATTCGTAAATAACGACGATCGACGGACGTCATAAAGGGAACGAATTTGGAAACAGCGAGTCTGGATTTATTCGACCTTTCGGCGATCATATATACACATAGTCAACGTTCCGGCCAATGTCGTTCTATCACGGACGAGACATGTCTCGTAACTTTCGATCTCGAATTTTAAACGCGGTCTGATTATTCGCCGAAGAATTAGACGTATGGCGCGGGCTTCTAAGACGAGAGAGAAAGCATTCGATAGAACGATGGCCTGTCCACGAGCAACGAGAGCCAATTGTACCGGAAATGAACTTAATGTTCTCGGTATTATCATTTTCAAACCTGACACGTTTGTCGGCCGCATGCGAAGAAATTATTAATTTCTCGTAAGCGTACGAGAGTGCGTGAACCGGATGTAACGGAATTCGAGTCAAGCCAACTGCCAAATCACCCACGATACGCGTGGAAAGGACCATTCTTGTTACGAATCTGTCCATAAAGGGACTTTATAACCACCGGTTACGTTCGATTCGCTTTGGTAAATTTCAGCGAAAGCAAAAGGTGAACAATGCCAATGGAATCTCGCGTGTTATCGACAACGATATCCAGTTGAATGTAAACATAATTTGTAAATTACGAATCCGACGTGTTTTTCTCGTTTATTTTCGTGATTGTCATCTAGAGTGTAGAATGACGAATTCACGTTGCGCGTGTGATATACACGTATTAGAGATTACGTTCTAACACTTGAAAAGTACGTTTGATAGCGACGATAAAGTTAAGATGTCAGAGTAAGAATTGTTCCGCAAAGAACGATCAATGGCATTCGTGTCGTTGGCGGAAATTATTGGAGGTTAGGTTGAACGATCGTAACCGTCGGGAGGTACGAAACGGACGATTTCATTGCGAATGTTTTACCGGGAAATATAAAGACATCGTTGAAACGAAGCGATTAACGCGATATGCGATGCTATTTTCGTCGATCAATAATCGTGCTAGAAAGAAGAGGATTTTCCGGAGGATCACGTCGGTCGGCGCGTCTCATTTCGTTTTATACGAAGCACGGAATCGATCACAGGCCGTCCTAACCTTAAAAGCCGCGCCGGCACGCCTCAAACGTACGAACGGTAGATTTATTTAGAAGCGATCGCGGTATGTCAAAGGACTACACCCACCTGGTTTTCGTCGTTGCTTTTTCCCTTTTTCTCTTTTGGTTATCTTCTTCTTTCCCTTACTGACGTTTCGTAGCACCGTGATTACCGGCTTCACCGATTCCCCAAATTCGTACACCGTCCCGTTCTCTTCTTGTCACCTGATCGATGGTACATAAAATACGAACGTTGGTGATTCACGGCAGCAGAAAAAACACGAAGTTTGTTGTGTATCCTCGTGGAGATTCCCTGTCGAGTGTCAGTGCCCCTTCTTTATCAAATCTCTTTGAGAAGTCGTGTCGCGAAACGAATGGAACAGTTCGGCTCGCTTCCCGCTATTAAAAGCGAGTAAATGCGACTGAGAATGATGATTGCTCGTCGTCAGTTTCCTTCATCGACGTCTCTTCTTCCTCTTCTTCGTCGCGAGCGCGTATCACAAATAGGAAAACTGAAGAAAAAGGAAAGAGAAACAGAGTGGGAAGGAGGTAGAAGGAGGAAGATAAAGGAGCAAAGAGCGAGGGAAAAGAGGAAGGATAGCAGCGTTATATCTCCACGATAGTTTCCTGTGCACGCGGTCGCACTTGACTGACGGTATCCCGTTTCTTCTTGTATACTCTAACCGCCGGCCGTTTTCCGTTTACGCTACCTGCCACCTATCCACTTCGCTGCTGGTTACCGTTGCCCTACCCTCGTCCACGATGCTTCATTCTACCAGTACTTCTCCCTCCTTTTTCCTTTCTTCCTTTCCGCCCTTTCTTTTTTTCTTCCTCCTGTATTTCCCTCCCACTTTCGACGAATTGTTCGTAACCTGTCACTCTTCTGCTTGCTCGCATACGGATCTCTTACCTCGCCCCTCACAAATATCCATATGATTCTGTTTCTGCCGACACACCGTGCAACCGTACAGGATAAACGGAGTCTTTTTAAAAAGGCCAACGGAAAAAACGATCGCGGCAAAGACGAGGACGATAACGAAGACGACAACGAGGACGACGCGACGAAAACGATGAAAACGAGGGCCACCGTGCCGACGCCGAAAAGCACTGCCGCCAACTTGCCATCTTGCGGACATTACTGTAAACATTCGCGGATGGTTCTCAAACTGTGGCTCCTCTGTGCCTTTTTATTCCCATCATTTTTTTTATAGAACACGCATTTTAACAAGCTTTTCGTCCTCAACGAACTGATTATACTTCGTATACCACGTTTACATAATTTTATTTAACCTAAATTTTGATATTACGAAAATTTTTATCCGAAATACGAACAGCTCGATATGTACATAAAATGCTGTTTTCTGCAATTATTAATTGCATACGGAATATAAAGTTTTAAATGCATCTAAAAGAAACACTTGAAACGTTTCCACGATTAAAAATATTAGGGAAAATATTTATTTCCAGGCTATTTATATTTTAAATTGAACGTTTATTCTCAACAGTGATTCGAATACGAAACGCGACGAAGCACCAGTGGCGGAGTATAACGAATCAGGACGGTCTGTTTTACGCGGGAAACATTAGATATTAGAGTTCAGTTCTTCGATAAATTTCAATTACTCGTCACATCGTCTATCAGAAATATCGTGCACATTGTATCTACACGGTATTTATGTAACGTAATAATACTTTAATGTGTAATAATTAAAGAATTCGTTGTAACAAGTGAACTTTGTAATTATAGGTACGCGCATGGAAACATATTCTAATAATTTTATTTAAATTTATTCTGAATGTAGGCAAAACTGGTTTGTACAAAATAGATTAAATATTAAATATTCATATAGGTTCGCGTATTTTAAATGCTAAAATGTTAGTATTTTACTGCTCATTGAAAATCTGGATACGTCCGTGTAAATTTTTCCTGGAAATTCAAGAAAAAGACGTGCTATTTACAGACGCGCCTACTATCTGTCATGACTACATTTACATACACTTTTTGTGTGTTGACATATTAGCCAAGATGGTTCTTTATCTTGTCACTCTAATGACAATGAAAAATCCAACAAAAATGATGCGCAGTCTGTGACATTGACTGACCTGAGGAATTATGCGATGCATATCCAGGGATACAAAAAGAAAAAGCGAATTGATTTAAATTGGAAAATTATAGTCCGTCGAGGAATGTACGTTAAAAATTTAATTAATATTAATGGAATCGTATTAAAAATTTTCTCAGTATTTGTGCGATAAATTATACAGCGTTTATCAGCTAACAGTTAATGATAGTAAGTTACCGAAATTGCATCGCGTTGAAGAAAAACAGATAGTAATATCGTTCAGTTAGACAATTAAAGCTGTAAATATAACGTGTTCACAACCCAACGCACCTCGTAAATCAATATTTATTGCATTGTATTATGATCGAACAATTCTTCGATATGAAGTACGCCGTTGCAAAGCTGGGAAAGTGGCCAATTGCTGGTTACAGGCCGTATTTGTACAGATTAACCTACTTCGAATCTATCTACTATAGCGGTCGCCCTTTGTTGTAAAATGATCTATCAAATTACCTTTAAACACGATTAATTCGTACTTGTCAAATTACAAATATATTGCAGAAAAATCGATTCACTCGTGAGTCGCTTAAGACCATATGCTTGATGAAACATCAGAATCAAGATGCTTCATCATCAAGATGATGATTTTTAAGAAATTTCAAATTTTTATCATTACATTATACCAGATAATGCGATTCAAACTATTCGTAGAAATATATTGCTCTTATCTTCTTATCTTTTTATATAATTTATAAGATTTATCGGTAATACCAGCTCATACATTTTCTATTAATCTCGTTGTGGACTCGAAGCCTTTGGTCGTCCTTTCAAAAATCTACGAGCTCAGGTTACATAATTTTCACAACTATTTTACATCGTGTGACTCTGCAAAGAATAAATTTAAACGGCAGCCGAATAAATTTGATTGGTTTGCTTAAAATCAATTATACTTATCTTATGCATCGATACGACATCGCGATATTTCCCATTACAGGTAAAGTGGTGGAATAGCGGATAAAGACGAAATAACGAAATTACGAGGCATCGAGATATCAATGCGGAATATATCAACTCATTTTAGCTCCTTTCGGCAGATGTAGGTCGAAATTGTTATCCCCATTGCAATGGAAGTTGCTGCAAAATCCGAGGAACAATTTCTTCTAAAGAATTTCTGTGTATCGCTCGAGGACGATGCAAAGCGCTGAAGCTTTTAAGCGTGACCGAGGCAAAATTGCGCGACGTCTGTGTGTTGGCCGATCGAGGCAGGAAAGAGTAAGCAAGTGGACCGGAATGAGAGTGATTCTGACTAGCAGGGAAAAGAGCAGAAAGTGTAATGCCGTGTAACAGCCTTGCGGGAGGTTATGCAAGTCACGGGTATCCCAGTCTCGACGATCGGCGAAAGTGATTCTTACCTGGTTTGCACGGTCACGAGATGCTTGCAAATCATTTTGTCTCTTAAAAGAAGTTACTTTTAGGTGCTGCATTCGAATTTTACTCTTACCTTTACTCTTTATCGACTGTCCTTAATATTTCGTTTGATCCAGGTAAATCATCTTTCACCCCTACATATTCGTCATCTTGGACTGTACCTGGACTCACGTTGGACTGTAACGTAATAAATATTAATTCTTGCAATTTCCTCGAATTTAAATTAAATTAAAATTTAAACTCGTAATTTTGCATTACCATCTTTTGAATTGGAAATTTTGTTTTTTAACAAGCTGACAAGACGAAGCACAGGGAGACTAGAGTCTTTTCATTTTAACCAGCTGGTTTAAGGTGGGTTGTTCTCATGCCAGTGGAAGATAAATTGATCGTTGAACCCGATGGTGGATAGTGTAGAGATTGCAGATGAATCTGTGCCACTGTCCACATAAGTAAGCATTGTCTGTTTTCGTTCGAAGTTCAAACTAATGCTTTGCACGTTATAGCTGGGTGGTTTGAAAGATGAATTCCTCGGAGATGTTTGGTTTACTCAAGGTAAGAGCGGAGTTGACCATCGGCAAGTTACGTTCATCGTCCTCGTCTGAAGGTTCTCTTTCTAATTCCAATGATGTCAAGGTGTTGTGCAACAGGAATAACACGTTACCTTCCCGAAATTAATCGAGAGGACAGTTAACTCCAGCCAGTAACAACTTTCACAGCAAGAGTTCAAGGTTCTCCACGAATCACTTTCATCTATAACTCATAGTCGGTTTCTTATTTGGCTACCTGCTCGGTGAACCTTGGTAATAAAATTTCAAACGATAATTATGGATAATCCGGACTTTTCATATTCAATATGTTTAGAATTTATCGTAAATACCAGTAAATACCACTTCTTTCCACTTCTAAGTGTCGCAGCTCGAAGAAAAGCAAATATTTCTAGGTAATTTTCCAGGAAACCGTTTAAGGCTTCTTTGATAAACACATTTGCGAAAACACACGATGACGCTGGTGTGGTAAAATAAAAATTTTTCTGCTTGTTCCTTGAGGCAAACTCAAGGTGAATTAACACGTTTTCAAGTATAATGAGGAACAGGATTTATCATTCTTTTATAAATAGTTTCGACATACCTTGTTATATTTAAAGTTTCGCTTATAATTATCCTTCGTCCACGAGAGATCGAATATTCTTGACGATCGATCGAAATTTCCGTTGAAGATGTACGCACTTTGGGACATATGTTAAATCGAGGAAACGAAATACGTAAAGTATATAGTAAATCGATGTCGCAATACTTTCTAAAAACAAAATTGGTAGTTGAATAAGATTGTACGTCAAAAGTTTTTTCCACTTTGCTCGTTATAATGAAACATCAATTTGAAGTAATTTATGTGCAAAACTTATTTCTTCTACAACTACATATTTTCTCAAACTGTGTATATGTTTTTATACTATTTCAAGAGAATATTATCGAGAAATATGCAAATTCGTATGTCATTATTTGTACCATTGATTGAACGTGTATCAGTATTAATCTAGACTTGATTGCTTTTATAAGATCACGGATAAATTATACATGGATGCATCGTACTTTTGTCACCAAAGCCTCTAATTTCTTCTCCACGACTTTTCTCTTTCAGTTGTCCTACATCGTCCGTAGATATATGTGACCTACATGCGACTCATTACGAAGATGGTCTTTTTTGTAACGCGACACATCGTAGACCAACACTTGATATCAAATAGGGGCTGCTTCACGAAAATCTAAGCGACGTGTGTACGTGCGTACAAGCCACGTATGAATCTTTCATGCGCCATAATTGTTCGAATTAAGCTGCATATGAGAAAATACTTTTATCTGCAACCTGTATGATTTGATTCGATCGAATGAAATTTTCTTCTTCTTCGTACCAATCATTAGAGTTAATGCATAATTTAGTTTCATTGAATTGCAAAGTTTACTACAATTATTGTAGCTTTCGACGCAATTAGCCGCTATCGCAAAAATATGTACATATAATATACTTTTTGCCTTATTATGCAACGTCAAACTTCTCGGAATATATTGCATCTTTCGATGACGATACTTTTGTAAATATGGTGTTACCACATAACTCTTATAGGCAATCTTTGCTTTTTTCCAGACCCCTTACTTCGAGTCGATGTTTGCTGTTTTTAAATTCCGAACCTCCTGGATTTCATTCCATTGTTTTACCCGGCTCGAAATCTTTCGTTTCGTCGTTCAGCTGCATTGGAATTGCCAGTAAAACTGGAATTAGAATGAAATATTATCTGGAATATAATTCCTTAATCGACATTGTTATTTGGAAATCAATAAATTGACTGTGTCGCAGTAATGAGATTCATCGTGGAAAAATTAACGAATCGAGTAAAATGATAATACGAGCATAATCATAAGCTAGTGATTCAATCCATAGGAAATACTTGATTATGCAATGTCATAACAGATTAACGTGTCAAAAATGTTACGATTCTATTTCTTCGCGTAAACAATATCACTTGTTGATCTTCATTCATATTTATCAGAACATCTTCCCTTTGTTCCCATAAACATGCATGTTTCATCCAGTCAGCCGTTTCATATGCTAAACTGATCATT